GGAGCATCTGGATTGTGTCTTTCTATGGAAAGCCGTGTACCTACGTCAGTGCTGGACACGCGGCTCGTCGCCAGCTCCCTCTGACGTTAATGCGATGGCTGTCCGCCCCGGGGAGGAATAGTCTGCAGCACTATAGCAGCCGGACAGCGACTGACCTCCCACCTGGCCAGACGACCTCGCCCGGACCCAGCAGCCGGCCGCTTCCGCGTGGCGTGTTTTTGCTGCTCGCGTATCTGGCCTTGTGTATCGACACTCGCTCCAAGCCTGCCAGCGGCGGTGGCGGTGGGGAGCCTATATACTATATAGCCTGGTGGGGAGCAGTCCATCTCCATCTCCCATTGGCACAGCCTGCTCGACGAGTGGTAACTGGATAATACTCTGACTGAATCAGCAATTGATTTGTGGTGTTATCGCGTTAGTGCCGGGTGGCGGCTCCTGCCGGTCGGGCGCAGTCCCCTAGTTTGGCTTTCAATTAGCTGCTCGAGGGTGAGGGTGCCCGGTCCCCCAGTGTAGTGACTCACCGTCATCAGGGGATCTCCCCACCCCGTCAATGCGTGTGTTCAATGACGCACACCCGCCGGCGTCATGCCGCCATCCCCCCCCCCCCCACCTTGTTTCCTGTAGCGAACTATGGGAGGAAGGAACAAGAGAAAGGGAGAGCCCGCCAGAGACCCGCCCCGACCGCGCCGGCCATTTCCTTCCTGGCAGATAAGGAGTGATTGTCGACGTTTCAGTGGCCGTGTCGTGCCGACTTCCTGAGGCTGTTGTTGGTGTCGAGAGGCCACTGCTCCCTTGCAAAAGGGGCCTGGTTCGTTTCGCAGTCGGTAGTCTGTTCGGGAGCCCAAACTCTGACTCACCGCCGTCGCTGCCAGCTGAATCTCCGGAGGCTGAGCGCCGGCCAGCCTCTGTCACGTGGCAAAGGTGACTGGGTGGGGACTGGGAGTCATCGGATGGCTCACTGGGATCGTGAACGTCGACACTGGCGGATCCAGGGGGGGCCACGGGGGCCATGGCCCCCCCCAAAGGCCTAAAGTGGCCTGTTTGGCCCCCCCCAAAACGTAAGAAAAATTGCTAAGAAAATATACCTTGGTGGAGGTTTTTAGCCACTTGATGAAGTAAAGCTTTCCACAGCAGTATATGGAAGCAATATGGTAGCAGTGAGGGTCAGTCAAAAGTTGCGCGAGTGGAGTCGACCTTCAAAAAAGACTTGTTGGCACGTGTTTAAGGCGTGGTAGCTGGGAGTTGGCGGTGTTTCGCGTGGTGTGGCATCACTGGCGGATCCAGGGGGGGGGGGGCACGGGAGCCTGAGGTGCCCCTGACAGACCCGTGGTGCCCTTGGTAGGTCTGTGGTGCCCCTGGACCCTGGCAGGCCTGTGGTGCCTCTGGCGGGCCTAGGGTGCCCCTGCTAGGCTGCTGGTGCCCCTGGGACCTGGCAGGACTGTGGTTCCCCTGACAAGCCTAAAGTGCCCCCAACAGGCCCGTGATGCCCCCGACAGGCCCAAGGTGCCCCTGCGTGATGCCGTGATGCCTGCGAGGCCGGTGGTACCCCTGCGAGGTCGGTGGGGCCCCTGACAGGCCCATGGTGCCCCTGCGAGGCCGGTGGTGCCCCTGCTAGACCGGTGGTGCCCCTGGCAGGCCTGTGGTGCCCCTGCTAGGCCGCTGGTGCCCCTGGGCCCTGACAGGACTGTGGTGCCCCTGACAGGCCCATGGTGCCCCTGCGAGGCCGGCGGCGCCCCTGGCAGGTCTCTGGTGTCCCTGACAGACCTGGAGTGCCCCTGACAAGCCTGTGGGGCCCCTCACAGGCCCGTGGTGCCCTTGTTAGGCCTGTGGTGCCCCTGGCAGGCTGGTGGTGCCCCTGCTAGGCCGGTGGTGCCCCTGACAGGCCTGTGGTGCCCCCGGGCACCAAGGGGGGTCATGACCCATGTGGCCCCCCTTGGATCTGCCACTGGTACATATTATATTGATTTGTAATGGCGTTATGGCTTATGCAATATGCAATTGCAGGCACTTGGTATCCCTCACTTATCCCTCATTGGGGGCTCTGGCGGGCTTCTGAGGGCCCACGTCTATCTCCGGGAGCCCTAGACAGGCTCCTTTGGGTCCTTTCAGTCCACTATAGCATAAGAGGTCTCCATGCGAGTCCTATACATCTGAGGACGTACCCTGACGTCTGAGGTACTCAACTGCAGCTCCAATGGTCTCTTACACTGGCGGATCCAGGGAGGGGGCATTTAGGGCCATGCCCCCTTCCCAGAGGCCTAAAGTGGCCCGTTTGCCCCCTCCCCCAAGCGATAATGAAGCACAGTTCAATCAGTGCCTGGCCCAGGAGCCGAGTTAGACCACCTCCCGTTTTACCACCTCCCGGCCCGCAAAGGGCCCCAAGCACTGACTCGAAGCGGGTTAACTGGTCGACAAAAGCAATGGTAAGTGTTTACAAAGTAATATAAAGGCATGGGTCGGGTGGGCTACCATTTATATATTTTTATTTTTAGTTTAAAAAAAATATTCATAGTGTCAGGGCTGTGACGAAAAATAAGTGGCCTAAATCCGATGAGAAAACAGGATTTGGGGGTACCCTAGGTTTGGCTCCTGCATGAGTTGGCCCCCCCCCCCAAAACGCAAGTCTGGATCCGCCAGTGAACGTCGAACCAAATGTGGTCGGCGCGTCGGTCCCGTCCTCGAGACTGACGACACGGGTGCCTCACCGTTTGCCGGAACGGGCGGCCTCCACGCGACCTCCCGGAACCTCCTCGAGACGGTGTTGCGGTGTGGAGGACCTTTGTTAGCGCCTTGCCGTTGGCTTTGTCGGTATGGTGCGCTGTGAGTCACCGTCACAGTCACCTTTGGTGGGGAGGTGGATTTCCGAGGCACACGTTGTTACCTAGCGTGGAGTGTGACTCAGAGAAGCCAGTTTCCTGTCGTGTACCTATGACTCAAAATTGCCGAAAGTTCGATAGTTTTTTGTTTGGGATATTGATATTTGATGTAGCTCGGAACAGCTATGCCTATTGCCTATAGGTACTACGCTTGCAGTTTATGTGCGAGTTGCGCCGTCGTGCCTCCCATTCGTGGATTCTGAGTCGATTCCGCACGTTTCTCTGGCCCAGTACGACACGGCTGCCTGAGGAGGTCGGCCACGGAGAGGAGGCGGCGCCGGGCGGGTCGCTTCCTGTTCACCTTGGACCCGTCTGGGTAGCCTGGGGGGCCAAGGGAGAGCAGCTGCCCACATGGGATCGGGACAGCGGCCAGCGGCCACCCAGCGGTACCGATTCAACCACAGTACTGTACCGCTGCGTCTGGAGCGGAATTCCATTAGTGGGCAGAATTACGCCGGTGATTTCATTCATTTCGAGCAGCAGCATCTGCACCCGAGTCCCGCTGAAGGCAAGCGGAAGCGTAAAGTTGCGAATTAGTGGTTTATAGCTTCCCATTCATGATCCATGCATAGCGCTAACTGCAGAGCGATGGTGACTGGTGATGGCTCTTTGATCGCGCGATGCATAGAACAGGTGGACATCTGCCTCTTTCTGGCCGCTCTGTTCAGCTCTCTGACTGCGAGTCGACACCGTCAGCGGCCCGGAGGCTCGGTCGGTCGTCACGGCGAGCGACTGCAGTCGGCGGCTGTTTGTCACAGGTCACCGACCGACCGAGTGTGTGCCGCCGAGTGGCACGCACGCGACGCGGCTGCAGCGGCTGCCATCCGAGCCGCCCGGCCGGTCGCGCTGCGCGGAGTAACGGTGCCGCGTGCCGGCCGCTGACTCACCGGCCGACGCAGACGACTGGGGAGAGCTCCTGGGTGGTGGGTGGTGCAACGATGTGGCACGGCGCTGTCGCACACAATGTCAGCATGATGATTTACTCCTAATGCCAACATTCAACATCGGCTGCGTCTCCACATCAAATGCTGATCGGGATTCCAACTTGTCCTCATGAGTCATGATTGGTATGTGGGAAGGATAGAGTTAGGTAGACATCCAGGTTTGCCCATAGATTTAATCCTTGGGTCTCACCGCAGTTGGCAGGCCTGCCCGCTTCTGTGGCGGTTTGTAACGAACCGGCACTGTTGATGAGAGCGATCCGTGGCCAACCGCTAATGATCGCCTAATGAAGCTGCGGCTATTTGCCGCGGTCGCTCTATCATCAGCAGTCGGTCCGGTCAGATAATTCCTCTGATCTAGTGTGATTTGTGCTCCAAAGAATCTGCTTCGGCGATGGTTGGGTTGGCGTGACTCGGTACGACTCGACGCGCATTCACACATCACCCAATGACGCTTAAGGCATACAGATTTTGACAGCTGGACGTCGAGTAGTCCTGACTGTCCACGAGTGTCCCTGTTGACCCAGTGACCCGCCTGTCTAGTGGACCGATAGAGACTGCGTCTGCGCTATCTGTGTCTGGTCGGTCCGTCCTCTCCGCACGCGACACGCACTCACAAAGCGAATAACGGACACCATGCATGTACGCAAAACCCGCATAAACTATAGGCTCGAAAGATATTTGACACATAAAATTCGTTCGCAAACCGAATAACTCATCACCTGTAGCATGGTAAGGGCTGGTGTGTGTGTGTCGATGAGTGTCACCCCGTTTCGACCTTGGTCGGGCGTTTGATCATGGCGTGCCAGACGTATGACCAGCTGGGGGTGACGTGTCATCGACGAGCGGCGCCGGTACAACGGGAGGTGACCCGGCCGCCGCCGACGTACACCTGTGTCGCCGCCGCCGGCGACGGCGTGGTGCGAGGTGCGGTCGGGACGTATGCACTGGGAATGGCGTTTTCTGATCGGGTTTTTGTTCGGTAGGCGGACCTAATGTTGAACCGTAATTGACACTCTTAGCCAGTTAATCAGATTCAGGACTCAACAGAGACACTTGTGGGCAGTTAGGACTAGCTGCAATATGCATGAGGAGTCCAAAGGAAGATGGTAGGTGTTGTTAAAAGGTGTCGTTTTGTCTGCGTGTTCACTCGCTAACCGTCGGTGTCCGTTTCTGCCCTCAGGCGGTATGGAGGAGTTCGGCCGCCAGTTCTCGGAGCAGTGTGACTCTGAGCTGCGTCCCGTCGAGACCGACCTGCCCGACTGCGCGTCCCAGCTGCGAGAGCGGGCTGATGAGATTGAGAAGGCGCGCGTCACGCAGATCCTGCCGTTCCTCTACGTGGGCAACCAGCAGGACGCCAAGGATCTGGACAGCCTCAAGGTAGGCGGCGATAGTTGGTAGAGAACTGACGATACTGTCGGTGCTGTGGAATATCCGTGACTGTGTTACGCAAATCTAAAATAATCACCGTGTTTTTAGACAGCAAAACGTGTTTGGTTTGCCGTTCTCACGTCTTTTTCTCTCATTGTTTTGTAGCCTTTCTGCACTTGGCGTCTGCACCTTATAGCTGTGGTTTTCGCTGTCGGCGGCCCCGGCCTGTCGCTGAGCGGTGCGGGTTTTTGCAGAACTGCGGCATCACCCGTGTGCTGAACGTCACTGCCCACGTACCGGGCTACCATCAGCAGCAGGGCATCAGCTACAAAACACTGCCGGCCGCCGACTCGGGCCAACAGAACATCAGCCAGTACTTCGACGAGGCGGTCGAGTTTATCGGTGAGTGCTCTCGCCCTCTCTCGGCTCTTCCTCCTCCCCCCTCCCGCTCCAGTCTCCCCTCTCCCTCTCTCCGTCTCTTTCTTTTCCATTATCTTCCCTCACTTTGTTATTATCCTGGGGCATCCCTCACAAGCCGACTCAAGAGTTGGAGTTTCCTCGCTTACACCTGAGCTCTTGCATCAGCCTCGAATTTGTTTACGTGCGATATAAAGCTGGCTATTTACTCTAGCTTGGGTATTTTAGCTGAGCAGGTGCTTCTGTTGCATGAATAAGGAACGAGTTTCATGTTGACTTTTTATCCACATCCTGGGCCAGGTGCCTTTGGTTTAGTATCGTTGAAGCTTGTAGCCGAGGATTCAGACTCATAGCGTGGGAAAATATTAAATTCTAGCTGCTAGGCAGCTAAGGTGTGGCTGCCTTCTAGTCCCATCCCGGATGAATCGTGGGCTCTGAGCGTTTCTAAACATGCTCAGCCACTTATCACCTGCGATACGCGGTAGTGAGATCGGCGTTCGCGTGCCCGTGCTACTGGCTGCCCATCTTCCGGGTCCGGCTGGGGTACTGACGGGACGTTACCGCTCAATAGACATGTATTCTAACCCACCAGCAGACCGCGCGTTTTACCAGGCCTTCAGTACCCCGGCCCACACCTGGGCCGCCGCCGCCGGCACCTGCGTGCGGTCAGGGGGAGGGGGACGGGGACGGGCCTGACTCAGAGTCACGTGTCCGTAGTACGGTCGTCGAGTCGACGATGACTCACTTTGCGCAGCTGCGCGCCGACGGCGGCCCGCGTGTCTGTCTGTTTATCCGTCCGTCTGCCTGTCTGTCTGTCTGTCTGTCTGTCTGTGATGTCGGTTACGGCGTGTGCCGTCCCTGTCGGTTAAGGCTGAAGTTGGGAGGCGCAGAGCGCGCCTGCGTTGAGCGATGACAGACAGTTCGGTTACTGGTGCAGCGCTGAGCCGGTACCAACGCTGAGTCAGACGCACAAGTGCCACCAATGGCCGATAGATTCGTGCCAGTTTCAGTACATGTGGATGTGCTATATTGTTGATATCCATCGGTCCGAAATTTGTTTAGTCGTTGAACCTATCACTTTCGAATGATTCACATAAGGACGTTGAACGATCAATCAATAATCTGATTTTGAATTGATGGCGGTACTTACATCAGATGCACTTGTTATCCAGATGTTTTCCTTCTTTTCATTGGCTCTGCCAGTCACCAGGGTTGTTTCATACGTTGCTGGGAGCCCACGCTTCATCCATATCTCCCCTCTGCGGCACAGTCCGTCCCATGCGCCCTCAGTGACCGGTGCCGACGGACCGCCCGACCGGCTTTCAGGGCCTGACATGGGTCTGACAAGGCCTGGCTCCCGGCCCAGCCTGCTGTGGCGACTGACGTCAGCGTGACGGGCGTCACTGACGTCAGCGTGACGGGCGTCACTGACGTCACCGGCCACCTGTCACCGGGAGCTGGCTTCCGTACTCGTGACGATCTCACAGCGACGCAGTCGGGTTCAAGTGCACTGACGGATGCTCGTATCGGTGCTACCTGAAGGATATTTACACAATGCAACGGATGGAGACTGTCGAGTGTCGAGCACCTCGATGCGAAAGATGTTGGTTCGTAGATATGTGCAGGACAAACCTTCCGACGGTTTACTCAGGCAATGTGTCTCAGTTTCGGGTATAAGGTACTCTCACCTCTCGGTGATTTCGGGAGCTGTCTCGTGACCGAACAGAGTCGACCACCCCGCTTCAGCCACCGCGCCGTTGGCGTCAGATAGCGGGTGCGTCGCGGCCGCTATCTCCCCCCCCCCCCTGTGAGGGCGGGGGGGGGGGGTGCTCAGGTGTGCCAGGTGAGTCACCCGACACACCGAGAGACGGTCACGTGGCCAGAGCCAGATGTCAGCTGTCTGATGACAGATGACACTGGGGGCCGGTGACAGACTCACAGAGTGCCAATGTCAGGGGACAGGGGTGGTGCCGGGAAATGCTGAGTTTTCGTCTTTTCGGCTCGTCTGTCCTTCTGGCTTGTATGGCATGCATCGCTGGCTGATGTGCTTGACAACTGATCTGTCGGATTTTTATTTCACCCAAGACCTGACGGTCCATGCTCAGATCGAGCTATACCTACGCTGCGGGCTGCCGTGAGCGAATCGGGCGTTGAGCGCTCTCCATCGCATTCCTCCCTGACTCACCGGGGATCTAAGCCGGGGACGGCTATCCGATGAGCCGACTGAAGAGGCTCAGTAGCTATCGGTCAACATTTCGTAGGTCGGGTTTTACCCCCGGTTACCGCAGCCGGGGGCGATAAGGCTGCCGGCCGGCGATAGAGACCAGAGGTGGCCGTATCTGGTCGCCGGTGACGTAAGGCGCATACGCCGCATGACCGGCTGCCGGCGCTGCGCCCATTCACGGACGGACGTGCCCTGCGCCGTGGCGTTTTTACGGCGCCGTGATGTGAGCTCCGCGGCTCAGCGGGCCATCACGTCATCCTCGGCGGCCTTTCACCGAGGACGCCGTGCGCCCATTGGCCCAGCCGGCGTGACGTCATCGCCGCTGAGTCACCGTGCGCGCAGGGGCGGCTCCAGTGTAGCGGAGGGGAGAGGGCGGCTCTGTGCCAGTGGCGTGTCGGGCTGAGATAACGATCCCTCGTTCAGATAGCGATCCACCTGGTGGACCATGTGACCCGACCCCTCCCCCGAGCGGGCCCTGTGCCCGCGCCTGGCGCCGCACCTTCCAGGCATGACAACATTATCGGCGAATTTAGCCCGGGCTGGCAGCGGCGGCGGGCAGCCGTGGCTGGACACGCGGCCGGGCTATTATTACCCGGTGCCGACGCACCAGCGCCGAGCATCGTCGCCACCGGCGGGGGACTCGGGCCGGCCGCCAGCTGCCGGGGTGGAGAACCCTCTCGATGCTGGCACGACCTCCCGTGGGGTGCGGATGATGCACGGTTGGGGGTCAGCCGCTGTCCCTCGATTGGGAAATTGGGATTCCTATGGAACTGGAATGTATGCATAGATGCGTGCTGCCAGTGTGAGACGGTGCGTCTCTGGTCACCCTGCGCTGATGCAAAGCGATAGATTCTATTCAGAATCTCCCTGACCTGTCCCTGGCCTAAGGTCATGACATTGGCTGATGCTGCAGAGGTTGCCGTGCCTGTTTGGCGTATCTACCTGGCGCTCTCTTGCGGACGCAGACGGACGAGATCGAACGAAGTGTGGGAGTTAACTACAGATTTCCTTAAATCTGTTTCCGGTCCAGGCGCTTATCTTAAGTCTAAGAAACGTCCCGTTAAATCGCAGGACGGCTAACCCCTTCAATAGAAAAACACAAGCCCGCTCGTATGTAGGTAATACGAATGTTCAGAAACAAACATCCGACTTTTGTTTTGTTCGACAAACTCGTGCGACATTTTTAGCCAGGTAACTCGTTCATGGAACGCGTTGGCGTTGTGGCGCTATGTTTCTTGGACGGGCGGACGGAGCCGTGGCCTGGGGCTGTTTACTGCGTGTCGGTCGGCCGGCCGGGTGACTCAGCTCTCAGAGGAAACGGCTGACCTGGATCCGGTGTGCCCAGGCCAGCCTTTGTGGCACCCGGTCCGCGCCGGCCCCGAACCCGGGGACCCACGGCTTGGAGACAATGGACCCCGGGGAACCGGGGAGAGGGGGGAGGGGTGAGACAGTTGACAATGGGCGTTGACCTACGCAGTTTTTCTGTGTCAGTGACTCATTGTCGATAGCATGTTACAAATAGTCGGTGCTCGGACCGAAGTGATGTGTCGGTCGCTTCTGTGAGATCTGCTGCTGCTTGTTGACTGTGTAGGCAGATTTTTTCCTGTTCATTGTGATGAGCACTGCTGGATGTGTGAGAAATCTCTGCTGGACGCATTTAAAGCGATTCATATACGTTTGACTCGCTGGGCAGGGGCGTAGGCAGGGGGGGGCCACTGGGCCATGGCCCCCCCTTGGGCGCCGAAGGCGCCCTTTGCGATTGGAGGGCGCCGAAGGCGCCCTCCAATCGCAAATGCAATTGTGATATAATCGAATCGAAAAACAATCGCGACTGGAGGGCGCCCTCCAATCGCGAATGTGTTTACAGGGAAAATACGGATGGAGGGCGCCCTCGGAGGACGCCCATTCCAAATACGCCCTCCAAATACGGTTGGAGGGCTCCCTCGGGCGCCCTCCAACCACATTTGTAGGCTGTAGCTCTCTAAGCGTAACGGTGGTCGCCTATGTAAGCCGCTGTCCTGTAAATAAGCGCCCTCTCACCCGAAGGCGCCCTCCTGTAGGTCGCCACCCTGCTACACATTGCCGCCCTTCTGCTGATCGGCGTCCTCATAATTATTGGCGCTCTCCTACCTATTGAGCCCTCATGTGAAATTTTGAAGGCCGCCTTTCTCCCTTTTGGCACCCTCTTGTTCAGTGCCGCCCTCCTACCTATTGGTTCCCTAGTCCTTCCTGTTGAATGTTAATCGGGGCCCTTCTCCTATTGGCGCCCTCGTGTAGATCGCCGCCCTCCTAACCACTGGCACCCTCCTGTTGATCACCGCCCTCCTATCCACTGGCACCTTCCTGTTGACCAGCGCCCTCCGCACAGACGCCCTCCTGTTCGTGTCATCCTCTTGAGCAAAGGCGCCCTCCTCACCATTGCCACCCCCATTTTAATCGTCACCCTTCCGCTCATTGGCGACTTCCAGTTGATGACCGCCCTCCCACCTATTGGCGACCTCTTGTTGATCGCCACCCTCCTATTGGTGCTCTCCTGTTCCTCGCCACCCTCTTACTTCGTGGCGCCCTCCTGTTGATTGTTGATCGGCGCCCTCCTACCTATTGGTGCCCTCCTGTTGATCGCTGCCCTTCTATCCATTGGCGCCCTCCTGCTGCTCGCCAACTTCCTACCTATCGGTGCCCTACTGTCGAAACTCGGGATGTTGATCGGGGCTCTTCTACCTATTAGTGCCCTCCTGTGGATCGCAGCCCTTCTACCTATTGGCAACATCCGTTGATCGCTGCCCTCCTATCATTTATTTACTCCTTTGGCATGTTTTTCAACTTAGTCGTTCTATTGCACATAGTTGATGTCTTGCCTGTGAAAACTGCCACAAATGAACGTGCATTCAGCACAATGAATGAAGTATCTATACCTACCAAAACTATCTACGCTCTACGATGCATAAAACACGTCTTTGGTCTTAACGGATTGATCCTACTTTACGTGCATCATGGCATCTATATGGATTACGATTAAGTATTGTCAACAGGTTCGGGCGCAACAGCAGGCATCTGAAGTTTCGGTGATTGAAACTGGTTATGTGGGTACACTGTATGCATCTGTGAGAAGGCTATGAAGGCTGGTCTGAGGTAATTTGGATGATGTTTACGCATCTCGCGCTCCGGTATCAATCCGATACGGTGATCTGGTGCGTAGATATGCCACCGCCAATAAACTTTTATACATCGACACCCATGAGCCAAGCTTTCTGTACAGTTTGTGTGGCAGCGGCCCGACCAAACCTTAGGTATTTTTTACACCTTCAAATTTGGTAAAAGAGCGAGAGGAGCTTTGAACAGTGATCGTATAAAAGGCGTGCCTAAAAAGCGGAGGAAAAGGTTGTTTTCAAAAATTTCGCGCGCCTTCGGCGCAGCATTTCAAGAACACTTGACCTTTTGTGACCTGGAGTATAAAGAATACACACGATGCAAAATCAATGCAGCACGACCTATACGAGGTTACGCAAAAAAAAAACTGGTGGCATGGTAAAAAACGCCTCCCAACCCCCCAACCCCCACTGAGCGATTTTTTATCTCGCGACCGTATGGCGCCCTCCTTGGGTGAGGTGGCGCCCTCCAAACCCTTGGCCCCCCCCTTCGCGATTTTCTAAATACGCCGCTGTCGCTGGGAGATGTTTCTGTCCGCCCTAGGTGTTGCAGAAGTGACTACTATTTAACCGCTAATTAAATTGTTCTGACGGCCGAGGAGGCGACGTTTGCGCCTTTACCGTCCGTCTCCGTCCGCTCCCATGGAAATATCGGCCAGGAAATATTGTGTGCCGCTTCTCCGTATCCTGGGTGACTCCATACTATCGCAGCTGAATCTGGAACCGCGGCCGTCCCGTCCCGTCCAGTGCGTCATTTTCCCTGCACTGATGCTATCACTGTTCGTGACGCGAATAAAGCCGTACTGCCATACAGAGCGAATTACATCACCTGATCTTTTCAGTAACTAAGTCGCGCAAATTCGCCGCCTAGCTGCATTTGCCTGCTCGAGCATGACAAGGGACAATCCACCGGGAGAATAAATGTGATTCTTTTGATGATCGCACCTACCTGAATGAGACAAGAGCATGAGGACAGACATAAGTTATTTCATAATAAAGTCACACCAGAAAACCCCGTGTGTGAAGAAATAAAACAGCATCACTCAAAGGTAGCTAAGCTACCTACCTACATCCTGGCCTTCGCTACCTTCAGTGTGATTGAACACGTTGTCTGTGACTGTCGTCTGTGTTCTATGGCGTAGGACCGTTAGTTGTGTTCATTCGGGGCGGCGCTGAGCGTGCTATTGAATGAAATGCAGACCGATGGCCGGTGGGTCTGCAGGCGTGCGCATCGGTCCCTGACGGGGCAGATACGCTGGAGCCGGAACCGCTTTCTCGCGAACTCTGACGTCGGCCAGAGTGTCTATATTTGTGGCTGTTGATGTGTCTGTGTTCTGACTGTTACTTTGTCTCTGTTGCAGACTGTGCCCGCCGCCTGGGAACCCGCGTGCTCGTACACTGCGTGGCCGGAGTATCACGCTCGCCCACCATCGCCATCGCTTACATCATGAAGTGCCTGCCGATGAGCATGGTGGAGGCCTACCAGCTGGTGAAGGCGCGCCGGCCCATCATCAGTCCCAACCTGAACTTCATGGGTCAGCTGCTCGAGTGGGAGCGCTGTCTGCAGCCGCAGGGCCGCGCTGCGCCTACCGACCCGGCGGCAGCGGCGGCGGCGGCAGCGGCAGCGGCGGGCCGGCTACCCACCGCGCCATCCGGCCAGCAGAGTCCGTGCCGGCCGCTGGAGACGTGCACCAGCTGACCGGCGGCCGCGGCCGCACCCTGTCCAGCCTGATCTCAGCCGGCGACGTCATCGGGACGTGCGCCGGTTCCTTGAAGGGCGCCGCCGCGGCTCGGCCGCACGGCGCTCGAGGCGCCGCGGCCGGCCCGCAGAGTGCCATCCGAGCGCATACCTGGGAGCGGAGAGAGCCGGAGGGGTGTATTGTCTGCCACCCTCCCCTCGCGGCAGCGAATTCTAGAACTGTCTCTTCGCCCGTGTCTAGAAGGGAGATGGATCGCGGCCCGACCCCAGTGCCTCTCTTCGAACCTTGCTGGTATGCATCCCTATTTATTTTACTGTGCCTTTGTAGTCGTGTGCGAGTTGCATTGATGTCGTGTGTCACGTTTTACAGAGGTATTCACCATGTTATACCACCTACAAATGTGTGCAAATAAACACCGTGCCTGTTGCGATAGCCGTCATGTGTTTTGGGAGGCTGGGCTGCGCGCGTGGGCTGCCTCCGGGGCAATTCTCTGCGCAGGGGTTGTCTCCGGGACTGGGCGAACTGTCTCCCATACCGTCGAGCATGATAGGCCGTCTCCGGGAGAGCGGGGTGCAGCGCTGCATGACTGGACAGGTGGTGACGTCATTGGGACAGGTGATGACGTCACTGCGGCTGGCTGGCCAGATTTCCTGCGCCAAGGGCAGCAGTGCGGCGAGCGGGGCCTGTTCCTGGAATTGCACCGCCGTGGATGGCGGCTGGGACTGGCGCAGCAGGTCGACTCGGCCGGGGCGGCGGAGACCTGCGTATTCAGATCAGCCAGCAGCTGTTCGTTAAGGGTACCGATATAGAGCCGCAGAAACGGAATGGGGGGGCTGCAAAACCCTTTCCCGATTTTTTTCCTGATCTTTGGTGTTGTTCCAACTGAGTATAACACTGAGAATGAATTAAAATGGCGGAAAGGTATAAAATAAAGTAAAAAGTTGTAGACCTTTAAGCCGGAGCCAGCTCTCAGCTTTAAATCCGGCAACTGTTTCATGTCTCGCCAGCGCTTTACTAATGAGACGTGGACGTCATTATACGACCTGACATTGTGCGACCGCAAAATGTCACGTACTTTTGAACAATAGAAAACAACCACGAGAGAGAAACGAACAACTAAATAAACGCACGCTGATAAAACCCAACAGGGCACGACAGAGATGCCACATCGTCAGTGTTTGCTGTGCCGTTCTGGCCCCGTCACCCCGACTGCGCCGCTGGACGTGCTGTCACCGTGCTGATGTCACGTGATGTAGCCGTGCTCCCTGACGTCATGTGCCGCCGCTGACGTCACGTCACCTGACGTCAGTGGGCGCCATATCGGTGTTATCTGCTGTGATCGGAGGTGCGATCCGCGCGTCGCTGACGGTATCTACCCCCGCGCGCTTACCGCAGTCGAGAGAGCCGGGACGAGGTCCGATCACATGAGATGGTTCGTGGTCAATGACGATGCGGGCTCGGCGGTGGTGGCATCCAGAGGCGATGCAGTCTGGATGTCAGCGGAACATAAAGGGAGTAGGGCTGGACTGAGCTCCCGAGTGCTACTTGGTCCAACGGACTGAAGCACGTACACAACAAACAACAACAACAATGACGACGACTGATCTCACATCACAGACACTCCCGAACCATTCCATGGTGGTCGTAAAAGACGGGGGCGCTCAGTCAGTGAGTCGCGCCGCAGTTTAGACGTTATGTTGTCCCAGGAAGACGAGAATCGTAAGCGAAGTGGATGTGTAAATTGTTTTATTCGGCAGCAGCCGTCTATGTGCATAGTCAAAATCTGGATGTAGCATGTTTTCAGGTTGGCACCTGAATCACTAATTAATTAATTTCATTAAATGATGCATTTATTGTACCTACTTATATTGCATTCCTATCCCTACATGTAAGACGTTAGGCGTAGTTTTAATTATACCGTTTTAATCACACTCCAATGCTTAGCTTTAACACCATCCACCGGGGGTAGATAATTAAGCCGGGAAAACGTGCAGCGGTTGGCGTTTTTAATTGGTGATTTTCTCCTATTTACGTCACTCCACATCCGGCTGTCGGTGCGTCGCTGGATTCACCGACAAGTCGCCAGTCACGATCCGGTCACCTGAGCAGATAAAACGTGACAGATAAGTGGACCACTCCGCAAAGTGCCCTTCAAGCCCGTTCTGACGGAAAGGTGCGCTCATAAACGCATGACCAATATTCGCTCTCGATGAAAATGGTAACACAAGAAACGGTGCAGGCGATATTCCGGATCGTTTGTGCTTCCGCTTTTATTAGTAATAGGCTTTCGGTGATTTTGATAATTGATTCTGATCATCCAATAAGCTACCTATCATGAGCTTTAATCAATCAGTGAGTTTATGGCTCGGAAGACGGTAAGAAGAGTTGAATTCATCTATGAAATTGATTGGTATTTAACGTCTCTGTACGCCACTCAACGCCGATTCGCAGAAGGCGGCATAACCTTGACAGTTGCGCTGTTCCGTGCATCGCCGAGGCGCCATCGGTGCAGTGCGCTGTATGGGCGCATTCCGCGGCCCGGCATCAGACAGGGGGTGCTGCAGACTGCAGGGGGAGGGGGGGGGCTGACGGAGCAGCCGGTTCGTCAGTGATGATGTCACTATGATGTGCCGCCATGCCATCAGTGCACTGAGCGCCGCCATTGTTGTTGGGCCGGACTGCAGTGCCGCCAGTTCGGTGAAGTGACGTCATCCTCAACAGAGGGGGGGGGGGGGTACTGCGCGTGTTTACAATTGGCTGCACGAAACCCAGTATGGCTCTACTGAGGTCAGGGTGCATGGAAATGGCCGATACACATCAATCGTTCAATTCGAGATGGTAGAAGGATCGAAAGGAGACTTTATTAAAGTGAGACTAATAAACGGATTCAACTTCAAGCGATATGATACCCAAGTTTCCCATTAGATTCATACGCTTATGCACTTAGGTATATGCAGGGCTGCACCGAGACTGATACCTAAGTGATAATGCCTTAAAGTAAAATGCCCACGGGGTTTGTTTAACATGACTTTAAACATGTTTCTAATGTTCTCTAGGAAAACGTTTTCTCGAGTATAGACGTTGAAAACCGTCTAAATATTTTCCGTGCCGTAAGGGGCTGTTCCGTACACTCAGCCCAGTAGCGACGTCTTAACCCGACGCATAAATGGCATACCTATGCTTTTTGCCCGCCCCCTGCAAACCGCCCCAAATAGTGTGCCAAATTTGAGGGCGATCAGCCTAGTCGTTGGAGAGCTGGAGACTGGAAATGACCATTGCACGTGCGCACGTGCAGTAGCACCCCAGTCGTGGTATGTAAAAAATGCATTGCCTGATGGGTGCCCACCTATAGGTAATGTTAAGTTTCTGTGCCATCGGCCGAGTAATTGCCGATTTAACAACGTTAAATCGTTAGATTTAACTATAATATAAGAATCGTATAACTAGGTAATGGATTTAACTATTGCACCTAATTGAACCAAAATTAACAAGGTCACTTCGAACGTAAAATGTCCTGTGGGGTCGAGTCGGTCGCTCGTACTTCCGATTGAGCAATAGAGTTTTTCCGTTAAAACACAAATAAACTCGCTCACCTCACTTGTTTACTCTCACTTTTATAGGGGGTGGGGGGGGGGTCGGATGAACCCCCTCAAGTTATCGTAAATAACTCGCGTAAAAAGCTGTCGCTTGCGACGAAAGTCTCAGTACCATTGGTGCATAGGTAAAGGGCGGACACAAGGGGGAGAGGCACGCGGGCCCGTGCCCTCCCCATTAGAATTGAGGGGCCCATCTGAGCCCCTAATCTTTAGACCGCCGAACACCATCTAAAAATGGGCTTAATTACATGGTGATTGAAAAGACCAGGAGTGCCCATCTCAGGCCCCAGCAGGCCCATGTGAGTTCATGCAGGGCAGCTTTTTCGGCTGGGGCCTGGGGCCCCTCGGCATGAGGGGCCCATTTTGCAGGTCGTGCCCCCTGTAGGGGAAGCCGGGGGAAGCCCGGCATAGTAAGCTCTTTTTCATTTTTATTACATACCATACATGCTGTATAAAATGTTGATATCCTGCTAGCTACCTAAGTTCATTGGCCGTGTTTTCCCAAAAATTCGGTTTTGTGGAATAAGTATAAGGTTGAGAAGATCGAGTTTTAAAAAAGTGTTGATTTTTCTGGGGTAAGCCCGGCATAGGGGTAACGCCGGCCACCTCCCCAGCGCTTTACAACAAGTTGATGAAACCATTATGTGTTTTCCAAATATTAACGGAAAGTGAAATATTAAGGTACTGATTAGCTCTGGACATCTTAGAGTTTATGTCACTACTGGCATTTTAGCTAGCGTCTACTACATATACAATACAGGTCGATGAAAATCGTGATGCGAAATTGACAAAAAATGTGTATTTTAAAATTCCTTAAAATTTATTTTTCTTTTTACCTTAATGCATCATATTGCATGTCATTCGACTCGGCTGATGAAGAAGAACACAACGACTCCATTTTTGAAGCTCTAGCTTCATTGTCTGTCGCGTAATCTGCAAAAACGTAGTTTGACCCTAGTTGACCTTAAGTGACATGACTGGCTTTGTCTATGATAACATGTTTATTTTCGAAATTTATCTTTGATCTAGGTGTAAACCAAACCTGCTCAGTACCTATTATCTCATGGAAAACAGTGGTTTAGTGGCATTGCTCTCGGTTGGGGGTAAGATTGGCCACTCGCCCGGGGTTACCCCAATGTGCTAATTTTTATTTTAGAACAGCGATATTCGAAAAAATGTCATACTTAAGCCAGCCTGCCTCGTCACCCCTCACTACAAACACTTAAACTGTCCTTACATAACATTCGTATAAATATTAGTGCTGTATGGTATAACATTAACAGTGCAAGATATCTCACTTTTTAGCTAAAAACCATTAAAATATCATTTTTGCGCTATAACTTTAACAATATGCAATTTTTGTCAGCCTTAACTTTTTTGCTGTCGTTACCTTAGCTGCCACGCTGAAAGGACAAACAGTTGAGCATTTTATTGTGAATAATTTAGCCGGAAACGGGGTGGCCGGGCTTCCCCCGCGCCCGGGCTTCCCCCGGCTTCCCCTATTTAAAAATCCTGTGTGCGCGCCTGGATGTGATCAATTTTACACAACCCTAAAAATGCCATGACCCTGACGCGTACGAACTTCATGTCGCGGGGAGAGGTCGCTATGCAATGTTCACTGTACAGTAGCGGCCAGCCAGGGTGTTCAGCGCAATGGAACCCCGGTCAGCCGCGGCCCCTCCCCACAACCCGCTGTGACGTCACAGTTCCGGCAGCTGCCGATGACGTCACTGGCCGTTGCGCCACATGGAGTGTGATGACAGACGAACAGAGGGGAGCCATCCGATAACGGGAACCGACACCGGACCATCAGGAATTCCGCCCACCTGATGGCGTGACGTCATATCGGATACTCCGCCCACATAGCACCGTGACGTCACCTATCGAAACGTGGCGTCATGGTATCTCAGCCGAATTGCAGCGTCATTTAAAGCACTTCTTTCACAGCTTGCCACTCCTGAGAAGTATGAGCTGGATGCTCTCGCCCTGCCCTGCTGGGAGATTTATCCAAACATGTCCCGCTGATGGAAGGAACAAATGAAATCCTGTGTTCATGTGAAACTTAGAACGAATTGAGTCGAGACTCGAGGGACTGCTGAAAGCGGTACTGGAAGGAAAGCTATCGCCAATACTAAAGTAAAAAAACAGTTGAGCTAAACACATACATATAAGGTGTATTACCGATCGTTCTAGATGCATGTGTCTGTTAAGTTGCCTATTACCATTTACCACAAACTGGTGATGGCGTTTCATGACCTATAATTTCAAGTGACCATGAGATAGGCATAAGGATTAGTTGTGCAGTTTTCGATATAATGAGTAGAACAGAAGAAAAAATTGAAGAGTTTGGCGAAAATGACCCGCCACTATGGCGAAACTCCGAAATGAAACGTTCGACTATTCTTACGCCCATAAAACGATATAATGTACCATAATGTAAATTGCACCGGGCACCCACATTTGACGAAAATGTGAACAATAATAGCCGAAGTAAAATCAGACACGCCGGACATTGAAAGCACAAAGAACGCTTACGATTTCAGTTTCATGCGGATACAAGCACAATACAATCGGATACAAGGAATACAAGAATCGGATACAAGCACGACATGGACATACTTATACATCACTCTGTTTCACCGCTGCAGACTATTTCGACCGGCATTCACGATAACACTGGCATCATCTCGTTTCACATGAACGGTCAATAGACGCTTCCTCGCAGGCTCATCACTCACCAGCCTATTTACATCACCAATTATGGGTGCCCACCCTCTAGGGGACCCGGCACCGTCTCCCCTTCAGCCGATTCACCTTTTCAGCCAGGGGGCGCACCAGAGCCCACGGGGGCGCCAGCGCCCTCTCTGGTGTCTGGCGAGGGCGCCTGGGCGGGCGCCGGGCGCGGGCTCGCGGTGGGAGCCACTCGGCCTCCGGAGCCGCGCGACCCCGGGCTCAGGTTCAGCACGAAATAGTAGATCAGCTCGAAGAAGGTCACCAGCGAGAAGCCCATGAAGAGTCCGAGCAGTCCGCCGATGTTGGCTGCCGACAGCACAGAAAGCAGGGGTTGACAGATCGAATGGGTGCTGTTTTCCGGACCAGAAGGTACAAAATCTCGCTGTCACTTTGACGTCTAAACATTAATTGGACTCATGAAGCTAAATTGACCGAATTACATAATTACAGGCTTATCAGGCCTATAGGTACCAATGTTATAACTAGTGATGGGCAGCTTTCTACCGCACGATGTAGACGTCGCCACTGAGGCAGCTGTAGTGTAGATGGCGCTACCGCGACTGGTGCAGGGCCGATTTCACCAACGATGGGTCCCCAATCCTACAGGCAGACCCGTGAGTCGTGACTCGTGACTCTGACTTATGACTACCTAGCCAGCGGAGTTCACTCGAGTTCATAATGGCATCAGTTCATTAACCAGCTCTGCCCTGCCCATGGACCATGGTCTTCTTGATCGTGAAGCCAATGGAAGATAGACGGTTCATGATCATTGTTCACCATCCATGTTGACGTTTGACCATGCAGCCACCAGCATATTATTGTTTGCAAGTTGCATTGACATTTTATATTGACATACAATATTGATACACATACACATACAATATTGACATTGACATATTGAGTGCCCGTAAAATGTAAATAAGTATACCTACATTGTAGGTCCTACACTGTAGGTCCTACATACAGTGTAGGGACGAACACACCGTTCTATGTCGTTCAATCCTCAAAGCAGTCATGCCCTTCTCCTCCACGCCTCAAACCCCTGATCCAGGCTAGATATTCATTCTGAACCTTTATCCGACATTCATCGAACGGTCACCTTATATTCTCAGAAGCAGGCCAGTTGTGCCATGAGGTGAACGTTTACGGGACTGGTCAGCCTATCCATGAGAAGGCTTGACTGGCTCGGCCCCGGTGGCGCACCTGGGCGGCTATGCAGGCCAATGTCTTCCTGTAATTCCTATCACCCTTCCGCGGCTACGAAAAGGTCTTGTTAGACTGAAAAAGCCTAACTCTACAAAAGAAATAACCAAACAAGTAAACGACAAGCAAAGGGAGATAGAAAAACATGAATGTGAAATTTTCGTCTATATCAAGCAGATAGTTTAAGCATTGTGATGCGCTCATAATTGAATGCACGTACACGTATGTAATGTACCTGCGTTATGAATGGAGTCTCCTCGCATTCATTGTGCTGATCTGAAAACAGCCCGCCTGGTCACCGAAACGTCTTCATTACACACGTAGCATGCATGAAAAAAAAATCCGTAGCATGGCATCTTACCTATGATCTGGTCGATGGTGTACATCAAGTCTCGTTTGTACCGCGTGACCGAGTTCGTCTTGAAGAAAACGTGCAGCTTGGCCATGTTGAGCCTGGGAACAAGAACGAACGTTTTATTAGTAGTATAACTTTAAAACACAAATCAGTCATAAAACGAACGAATATTAGACCAGTATAACGCCTTTTAGGGCGACTAACGGAGCGAGCGAGAGGGTGAGCCTTGCACGTGCGAAATTTCGAGGGGGTACCTCCAGCTGACTTGTGCACGGCACCCTACTAACCGGTCTCTAGCGATGTGCCAAATTTGAGCACAATCGGGCCAGCCGTTCTCGAGATCTGGAAGCGGCACCCTGCACGTGCGCACGTGCAAAATGGGTCCCAACTGACTTTTGCACGGCACCCTACTAACCGGTCCCTAACCATGTGCCAAATTTGAGCGCCATCGGTCCAGCCGTTCTCGAGATCTGGAATCGACCCCTGCACGTGCGCACGTGCAGCAACACCCCAACTCTGGCACATGGATATGCATTGCCTAGTGGGTGCCTACCTACATGCCAACTTTCAGCGCAATCGGCCAAGTAGTTACCGAGATATTGCAACAATTACAAAAGTGACACCTCTTCGTTTTGCACGTGGCACGTGCATAAGGGGTCACCCACATGCATCGGGAATAGTCCAATACTTGGTAGAAGGAATGAAGCTACCCTACAAAAATTACCGCGTGTAAATCGGTCAAGTGGTTGCTGAGATATAAGCGTCGTAGAAGCGTGACCACGGCCGGCCGGCCGGCCGGCCGGCCGCTCATACTCAGAAATTTCCGTTAATCTAAGGAAAGACTACGCTCGCTTCGCTCGCTCCGTAATAATTTGTCTTGTGTTATTTATTTAGTTAATTAAAAGTTAAAACCCAGCCTGAAGAGATAAAACCAGTATAACGCTTTTTGTGGCGACTAACGGAGCGAGCGAGAGGGTGGGCCTTGCACGTGCGAAATTGTGAGGGGTACCTCCAACTAACTTGTGCACGGCACCTTACTAACAGGTCTCTAGCGATGTGCCAAATTTGAGCACAATCGGCCCAGCCGTTCTCGAGATCTGGAAGCGGCACCCTGCACGTGCGCACGTGCAAAATGGGTCCCAACTGACTTGTGCACGGCACCCTACTAACTGCTGCGTAACCGTGTACCAAATTTGAGCGCAATCGGTCCAGCCGTTCTCGAGATCTGGAAACGACCCCTGCACGTGCGCACGTGCAGCAGCACCCCAACTCTGGCACATGGATATGCATTGCCTAGTGGGTGCCTACCTACATGCCAACTTTCAGCGCAATCGGCCCAGTAGTTACCGAGATATTGCAACAATTACAAAAGTGACACCTCTTCGTTTTGCACGTGGCACGTGCATAAGGGGTCACCCACATGCATCGGGAATAGTGCAATACTTGGTAGAAGGAATGAAGCTACCCTACAAAAATTACCGCATGTAAATCGGTCAAGTGGTTGCTGAGATATCAGCCTCGCAAAAGCGTGACCACGGCCGGCCGGCCGGCCGGCCGGCCGGCCGCTCATACTCAGAAATTTCCGTTAATCTAAGGAAAGACTACGCTCGCTTCGCTCGCTCCGTAAAAATATGGGGAAAATTACCTAGTGGGAAAATAGAAGTATTTTTTTTTTAATTTCACTAAGCCACGTGAAATGATAAGTACCTATCATTGACTGCAAAACAGCAGCCTGAATGTTTTTTATGACTCTGCAACACGCCTGTCAAGTGAAAGTCGTCGGTCATCGGCTCGTCTCCATTGCCATATACCACGAACAATGTGCTGTGTCTGTGTGCGCTCAAATAACACCGCTTGGCAGTGTGAGTGGCCCAGTGTGTATTCATATCCCGCGCCCCGCTGAGGGGGGGGGGGGCAGAATCTGCCCCCTCCCGTTTTTCGCCAATAACTTCTAAACGCGTTACGCCAGCGATGTCAAACTTTCAGTAGGTACCTTATTATACATTAATTTGACATGTTCCCTGAAAATTTGAGCAAAATCCGTCGGAAACTCTTTGAGAAATCGACGTTTTAGTGATGTCATGTTCGCAATTTTCGCCTCAAAAACGGCAAAATTTGAAACGCCGCTAACATCCTCATTTTTAAAGGAATCAAGACGTAACAAAAACGGTTATACGTGATTTTACTTTGTCTATCAAATGGCTATCTCGGTTTTTGAAAATTTTGGATTTGAGCCCAATTTTTTTCTTAAAAAATCTGACTTTTTTGGGAAAATAAGAATAAAATCCAAAATTTTGAGTGCATCAAAAAATCGGAATATATATCAGAGAAGTGGTCTATGTGCACCTACATACCAATTTTATGAAGAATCGGTTCAAAAATGTGGGAGTAATTCAAAATCTTATGACGTCACGACACACAAAATTTTTGAAAAAAAAATGATTTTTTAAAGTTCTAGACCTCGTACGGGAACAAAAATAGCACCATTCGATTCGCCGTGAAAAAATGCATCAGTTAGACACCTTTTTAGGCCTAACAACCAAATTCAAAATTTGACCTCACTTGACCTGACCTTGACCTGACCTTGACCTGACCTCGACCTGAAAATCATCCAGAGGTGGTCTATATCACATATTGAGCGTGCCTATGGAATTCTATGAATAAAATGACCCATAAAACATGTGTCGCACATGCCCTTTTCTATATTTTGTTTTTGGTGACCTGACCTGACCTGACCTGACCTTGACCTTGACCTTTGAATGACATTGTATGCAACGAATAGTGTCTTGGTAGTCTAAGAACACGTTTTGGGCAATCAGTCTCAGTCCATTCTTCGGCAAGATGCGGTGCAAGGCCGATACTGTAGAAACTTGCATTTTGTACCCTTGACCTGACCTTGACCTGACCTCTAACCTACTTAAGAAAAAAATTGGGCTCTTAAGATCCGCCTTGTTGAGAGCTTTCGATTACCGTTTTCCCCGTCTTTCTACGAACATCGGTTCGGAAGTTAGACAGGGGCGGGGGGGGGGGCAGAATCTGCCCTCCCGGCAGGGCGCGTATGGCTGAATAGCCCAGCGGGGCGCGGGATATACGACGGACGGACGGGTGACGTCCGTCCGCCGGGTGAACGGCGTGACGGGTGACGGGGTCAGTGTGACGGGTGGACGAACTGACCGTCGGAATCTTACCTAGCGTAGTTGACGGCCAGGGGGTAGAGCGGCTCCGTCAGCGAGTCGTTGGCCAGGAGCTCTTCAGCCCCCTTCCCCGCCAGGATCAGAGAACACTCCTTCTGGCAACCAGCAAACAGACGACATTAGTTAACGGGAGTCCGGAGGCAAACAACATTAGTTATTGGGAGTCCGGTGATAGACGACGTTAGTTAACAGCAAAACAGCGAGACTAGTTAGTGGAACCCCCGGGCAGGCGATATTACATAGTTAACCAGAACGCCGGTATGATTCCCATTCTATGTAGCATCTGCTGGACAGCACAGAAGAAGACTTGGTCAATAATACACGTAAAACTTTCTTACTTTCAATAATCCCACTTCCTAGAGCTATTCAACAGAGAGTTATCACGAATCACTGCAGGCAATCGCATACAATGAGCACTTCTGGCTCAATAAAGCAATGAGGTGCATTCACTTCACCGCATTATAACTGTTCAGCGTTCACGTCAAGTCACCCTTGAGAGCACACAAACCGGAGCTCACCGATTGCTGCTGGGTTACGCCGATCAGAGATGCACACATTCTGGTGACGATTGCCTTGAAAATATCACTGAAAGCCTCGTTCTTGATCAGTTCCTGGCTCGGGAAAAGTGAGCTCGAGAGCTCTGTGGAATACTTTGTTTCGTCGCACGCTGGTAGGCAGTGCTCCCAAAACTCAGCCGACAGGTTGAAGTCTCGAGAAAGATGGTCTGAAACGTAGCCCAAAACGTTGTCGGTGCGTAAAAATCACGTTTCACCCCAAGCCCTAAATGGGGAGCAAAGACTGGACAACCGATGTTGGCACACAAATAAAAGTGGCGTGCAATCATATTTCGCGGAGTTATAAAAGTAAAATTTTGTGTTTACTTATTGAAGATTATTCGTGTTATATTAATTACAATTTTCATTCGTGTACTTAAAGTCATAACTTTTAATCGTGTGCTTATAATTGTAATAATAATTATCATATAAAGTTTTGAAGCATAATAAGATAGCAATATTTTATTAAGGTTAGCCGACGAACATAACTAAAAAGCTAGGCATGAAAAGCCACATTACTTCCGATGATTTTGTTGCTTTACCATTTCTATGGCAATGCAGAGCAACAATGTTATATCTACGACCCAACTTTTAACTCTTTAATCAACATGTGAAAGACCGTAAAACTGGCGTGAGAGAGGAAACGACATTGTGTTGCATAAGTGTTTGAAAAATGTAAAAGGAAAAGGATGTCTGAAAGGCAAGCTATGTCCCGAGGAGTGCAATTAGACCAATACGGGCTTGGAAAAATAAGTGAATAAAAAGCTTCGAGCAGCTGCAATTACTTACGCAAGAACGTCTGAAGACACGGTAAATCTTTTTCATGGCATATTTTGGCGGTTCCTGTGTAGCGGAAGAAATAACATTAGCTTGTAAGTTATAGCCGGCATTGCGCAAGAGAAACGAGTCTCCATACGGTAAACGTCGAATTGCTCTAAAAAATGTGAAGCAGCCTTCCCGAAACATGAGCACACTTTTTGTGATTTCAGACGCACCATATCAACTCGTTTTTTTCCGGAAGTTAAACTTTACAAGTTAGTGAGTTCGAATTATTTATCCGTAGTTACACCTATCTGGCCTTGTCGACCAGTTCCACTCATGTCTTTTGTCAGTACCTACTGAGTACGATAGCCTATAAACATAAACTACAAATACCCCTAGTCTCCAATCCTTCAGCATGCCTTCCCAACTTTCACTTGGGTTGCGCCCTATACATTTCGTAACGTTTGAGCCGTATTGGAGCGATAAATTGATACCTACCTATACCTAATCCATACTTTGACAATTTGTAATTATTTGTCACTTAATCCTTTACTTCATCCCTCTTTCAAAAAATATTTGTGCATTGACTACTAATCAGCCTGTAAAATTAAATCAGTCTCTGACTCTCTGCCAAGGTCTCTGCCGGAAATCAAAGCAACGAACGAAATTACGGACATTTGACATCTCCGTGATTTCGCTCGTGACTTTGATTTCCGACAGAGACTGACTTGATTACAGACTGATTTATATCTCATGCCATTCGTCTAAATCCACCCTCTCATACCTGGCATGTAGAAGGCCACGCAGCCGCACCGGTCGACCAGCGCCTGGGCCTCTCTGCTGAGCAGGCAGTTGGCCAGCGTGTAGTAGGTGGTGTCGGCGTGCCGCAGCGCTCGCTCGTGCTCCATGTAGCAGTTCCGCTCCTCCGGCGTGAAACTGGACTCGGCACGCGCTGCAACACGCAGAGACGAAGAGACCAGTCTAGACGCCGGGTAGTTGGGTAATTAAAATGGTGCTGCGATATTTGGTAGAAATCATTTATCTTGATTTTTGTTTAGATTTAAAATTTTATTTTTGTTCGCGCGTCTTTATGTTGTTATTTCCGAGTGGACTATAATGACGGCCACGGAAAGCTTGCACGACGGTATTGCTATTGCACGCCGACGCACCTCCGGTTACCTTACCTGTGGTGTAGGTCTCCTCAGCAGTGACGGCCACGAAAATCTCCTGTCCCGGCGGTATGGCCATTCCTCGCTGACGCACCTCCGGCTCGTCGTGAGTTCCGTGAACTAAAATCTGCAGCAAAGCGAATAGCCTCTTACACGATAGGCGTTATCACAAGTGTATTCGCGGCCATTGGGGCGACGTAAGGAAGGAAGAAAACATCTGGCCCCAAGAGCTTTAAATTATCAGTTAGCATGCAACTTTTCCTTGCTGTGTAAAGATTCTACCATCAATTATTAAATACAATTGCATTTAAAATCTTCCTTTTATGTTTTTCCATCGTTTGCACAATATCTTACGTTACTAAGCTAGATTAACACTAATTATAAATAGTTCCAGCATCATCAAGAACAATAAGGAAGGCTTGGAGTGAATACAATAATCTAAACGGTTTTGCAAGATGTGAAGATCACTTCTAAAATTGCCTCTAGAAATATTGAAGGCAAAAGTTCAACTTTTTTACAAGACGGATGTCTATGTATAAACCTATTCAACGTGTAACAACTCAGCCGGTATTTCGTCGCCTACAGCCCAGCTTTCCCTAGTGACCGCTAGAGGCGCTGCTATCGATGTCCACCCGTGCCGCCTAACGACATGCTTGCCTTGGCATATACACATGGGCTTTGTTATTTCTTACTGCATGCAGCATGCATACGATATTTTCATCTGTGTTTATTATTTAGTGCTCAATAGAAAATGTACCGACAAGAACAAGTCCAACCGTCAGCCTGTCTCGTCGCCTATCTAACCTTGAACCCGACGGATAGAAAATGGGAGAGGTAGTACTCGTAGCGTTTGACGTCGATCATCACGGTGAGACCGTTCTTGTTACCGGAGCCGCTGTACAGTACCCCGTCCTGCCTGGAACGTCGGGCAGCGCCGCTATGTGACACAAGCGTCGACCGTGTGAGCTGCCATCAGGGGCGCCAGCGAACAGAGATGAAGCGGATATCCACGTAGGGTATATTGACCGGGATGTTGCTGAGGTGGAACTGAAATGGGGCATTACTGAAGAGAACAAACGCATGCCACCATCTTCTCAGAGAAATCGAGCAAATATACCTAAAGGAACTAAATACGTCATAGTTATTAGGTATATACGCACTTACATACGTACAAAAGAAGAATTAGAACGTTGCAAATGTAGGGGAAGCCGGGGGAAGCCCGGGCGCGGGGGAAGCCCGGCCACCCCGTTTCCGGCTAAATTATTCACAATAAAATGCTCAACTGTTTGTCATTTCAGCATGGCAGCTAAGGTAACGCCAGCAAAAAAGTTAAGGCTAACAAAAATTGCATATTGTTAAAGTTATAGCGCAAAAATGATATTTTAAGGGTTTTTAGCTAAAAAGTGAGATACGTTGCACTGTTAATGTTATACCATACAGTCCTAATATTTATACGAATGTTATGTAATGACCGTTTAAGTGTTTGTAGTGAGGGGTGACGAGGCAGGCTGGCTTAAGTATGACATTTTTTTTTCGAATATCGCTGTTCTAAAATAAAAATTAGCACATTGGGGTAACCCCGGGCGAGTGGCCAAGCTTACCCCCAACCGAGAGCAATGCCACTAAACCACTGTTTTCCATGAGATAATAGGTACTGAGCAGAATTGGTTTACACCTAGATCAACGATAAATTTCGAAAATAAACATGTTATCATAGACAAAGCCAGTCATGTCACTTAAGGTCAACTAGGGTCAAACTACGTTTTTGCAGATAACGCGACAGACAATGAAGCTAGAGCTTCAAAAATGGTGTCGTTGTGTTCTTCTTCATCAGCCGAGTCGAATGATATGCAATATGATGCATTAAGGTAAAAAGAAAAATAAATTTTAAGGAATTTTGAAATACGCATTTTTTGTCAATTTTGCATCACGATTTTCATCGACCTGTACTGCATATGTGGTAGACGCTAGCTAAAATACCAGTAGTGACATAAACTCTAAGATGTCTAGAGCTAATCAGTGGCTTAATATTTCACTTTCCGTTAATATTTGGAAGACTCATAATGGTTTCATCAACTCGTTGTAAAGCGCTGGGGAGGTGGCCGGCGTTACCCCTATGCCGGGCTTACCCCAGAAAAATCAACACTTTTTTAAAACTAGATTTTCTCAACCTTATACTTATTCCACAAAACCGAATTTTTGGGAAAACACGGCCAATGAACGTAGATAACAGGATATCAACATTTTATACAGCACGTATGGTATGTAATAAAAATGAAAAAGAGCTTACTATGCCGGGCTTCCCCCGGCTTCCCCTAAACGTTCAAAAAACATCGTTTTCTCACTTGGCGCTGTCGTAGTGCGCGTTGAACAGGCAGCAGTAGCCGAGGTCGGTCCGTTGCGTTTTAAAGAGTTTCGAGCATGGTGTCTTCCGGCCTCTCCAGAGACAGGCGACGACCATCTCATCGCACGACGGTGAAGTCTGCACGGAGAAAATTAACGTGTCGCTGGTCGTAATGAAAGCACACACAACGGTGTGACAGGCAAGATACTTTATACGTATACTTCTATGCATGCTTTTATTTTTCGCTCTTATTGGAGAGAGAGAAAAAGACGGGGGGAAAAGGTAGAAAGAAAGAGAGAGAGAGAGAGAGAGAGAGAGAGAGAGAGAGAGAGAGAGAGAGAGAGAGAGAGAGAGAGAGAGAGAGAGAGAGAGAGAGAGAGAGAGAGAGAGAGCATCACGAAAAAATAATAGAAACAAACCAGAATAAATATTGGAAGGACGCGTTTGTCCCCAGAGCTCACCATCGCCATGATTTTCCGGACTTGTTCCGGAGGTATGTCATGTGTTCTGCGGCGGGTTTCTGCCGAGGGGAGGCAGTGGTCTCCCTCACACGAGTCGGCCGAGAGGGGACAGCGGCCGCCGGCGCACGAGTCCATGTAGGCGATCTCCAGAGCGTCCAGCACGCGCTGACGCCACTCGGTCTCGTTCGGGTACACGACTCTGTGGTGAATCAGCGGTACATGACTCAGCGGTGAATCAGCAGCACACGAATCAGCGGTACATGACTCAGTGGTGAATCAGCAGCACACGAATCAGCGATACATGACTCTGCATGACTCGGTGCATGAGTCAGTGGTGCATGACTCTGCTGTGCACGACTCAGCGGTAAATGAGTCTGCGGTGCACGACTCAGCGGTACACAACCCAGCAGCGGTAGGTCAGCGGTTTGACTCTGCGGTACAAGACTCGGCGGTCACGACTCTGCGGTCACGACGCGACTCGGCGACTCACCTTCCCAGCACAGTCTGCTGGTCGGGCGGCAGGCTGCTGTTGCTGATCTTGTTCAGGTTGCAGATGGTCAGCGCCGGGAAAGGGATCCGGTGCACCGGGTAGTCGGTCGTCTCAATGCTGACCAGTGTCGGAGACCGGAAGTAGTTGTCCACCACGCCGTAAATGAGGAACGACGCTGAGCAGAACGTGCCCAGCACAATGACGCCCCAGTACCAGCTGAAACGGGGGCACATATGTACAGTTTCGAATACCAGTTCTACCGACGACTTTTATTGACATTTTTGTGAGCGCTTTAGCAAGTAACATAATATTTTACATTATATGTTATGAATCTCACATATATGAGGTAACAGCAACCCAAAACAGAGCAATAGGAAGAGCAGCACAAACAGTTGTGTGCCTATAGTGGAGTAACCAGGCTCGACACTACCGCAAGACTTGGTTGAGATTAGTTCTCACTCATTGGTATACGATATTATTTTGATTTTTTCATATATCTGTGATAATGCAAGCAAGACTGACTCTTCTAGATGCTCAACGTTCCTACACGAAACACACCAAATAAATTCTGATGACAGGATTGCTCACCGTTTAGCTGACCTCTCCCTGGCCAAGTACTTGACACCATGGATGGTGGTCTCTTCGCAATACTTCTCAGCCTGTTCACGGAAAATGTCGCGATATCCCTGAAAAAGCCAATCGCATGTAATTACCGCACAAGGCTACAAAATAATGCACATTTTCTATACGCACTCCCGTAAAGAGAGAAGGAATTCAACCCCTAAATGTGACCCTATCATCGTTTATCCACACATATGTATGCATGTATGTAAATGTACGTATAGAACCGACTCTTGGGGCTTTTCTAAAATGTATTCGCATTTCACTAGACTTTTCTGTAAGTTCTGTTTGTGAAGTCCAACAATTTTCCGGGACTATCAAACTCCGTTTAAGTTTTGCAAATCAGATCAATTGTTCCGGAGATGAGGCGTAGGTACATTTTGCGTAGGTACATATATGTATCTTATAGAGCTCCCAGCATTCTTCGCCTTTGAATATACACTAGTTATTCCCTGTCAGTTCCGCATTCCGATGTCACTTTAAATGCAGACTGCCGCGAGGCAGTGCCTAGTGGATAGACTGTACCGCCAGCTAGCGCGCCTAGTGGATAGACTGTACCGCCAGACAGCGCGCCTGAATGATAGACTGTGCCGTGAGGCAGTGCGCCTGGAGGATAAACTGTACCGTACGGTAGTGCGTACGGAGGATAGACTGTGCCGTGAGACAGTGCGCCGAGAGAGTAGACTGTACCGCCAGATAGTGCGCCTTGATGTTAGACTGTACCGCCAGACAGCGTGCCTGGTGGATAGACTGTACCGCAAAGCAGTGCACCTGGAGGATAAACTGTACCGTACGGCAGTGCGTACGGAGGATAGACTGTGCCATGAGACAGTGCGCCTGGAGCTTAGACTTTACCGCCAGACAGCGCGCCATGGAGGGTAGACTGTACCGTAAGGCAGCGCACCCTGAGGTTAGACTGTACCGCCAGGCAATGCACCTTGTGGATAGACTGTGCCGTATGGCAGTGCGCCTTGAGGTTAGACTGTACCGCCAGACAGTGCGCCTGGTGGATAGACTGTACCACCAGACAGCGCGCCTTGAGGGTAGACTGTACTGTAAGGCAGTGCGCATAGTGGATAGACTGTACCATAATGCAGTGCACCTAGTAGATAGACTGCACCGCCAGACAGCGTGCCTGGTGGATAGACTGTACCGTAAGGCAGTGCGCCTAGTAGATAGGCGCACACGGCAGTCTATCCTAATGGGCGCACTGTCTCACGGCAGTCTATCCTACAGGCGTGCCGCCTCGTGGTACATACAGTCTATCCTCTAGGCCTAGGCGCAATGCCTGACGGTACAGTCTATTGGCCAGGCGCCCTGCCTTGCGGCACAATCTAACCTCGAGGTGCACTGCCTTCCGGTACAGTCAATCCATCCAGGCGCACTACCTTACGGCACAGTCTACCATCCAGGCGCAATGCCTCACGGTCACGGCACAGTCTAACCTCCAGGCGCACTGATTGGCGGTACAGGCTAACATCAAGGCACGCTGACTGGCGGTACAGTCTATCCACTAGGCTCACTGCCATACGGCTCAGTCTATCCACATTCCACAAGGTGCATTGTCTGGCGGTACAGTCTACTCTCTCGGCGCACTGCCTTACGGTACAGTCTACCCTCCAGGCGCGCTGTCTGTCGGTAAAGTCTAAACTCCGGGCGCGCTGTCTGGCGGTACAGTCTATCTACTAGGCGCACTGCCTTACAGTACAGTCTACCCTCCAGGCGCGCTGTCTGTCGGTAAAGTCTAAACTCCGGGCGCGCTGTCTGGCGGTACTGACTAACCTCAAGGCGCGCTGTCTGGCGGTACAGACTAACCTCAAGGCGCGCTGTCTGGCGGTACAGACTAACCTCAAGGCGCGCTGTCTGGCGGTACAGTCTAAACTCCGTGCCGTATCGTTTGGGTGATAGACTGCGCCGGAAAATGACACGCCTGGAGGATAGACTGTACCGGACTAAATCATTTGCGACAGGTATATAAGTACAACCTGCTCTCGATGGGGATGCGTGGGAAGGCGGTTGCGTGGGGGGGGGGGGGAGTGGAAGAGCCCAACGCGTCCATAAACCTCGACAAGCTTTTCGACTATTCGTTAGATGAAATGCCAAACTTTACAATATAAAAATGCCAGCGTACAGGCGTCTACATATAAGAAGTTTCGTTTCAGCATACCATTTCAGCTCTTTTCTTTGGCATATGTAGGTACTAAGCATCGAAAAAGGACGGAAAAATAAGAGCTTAGAAAAGCATTAACTGAAGTTCAACACTAGGCTGGGTTGGGAGGTGGTAAATGGAACTGAATTCAAAATGTTAAGCTGTTTGGGTAAAAAAATATTTTTAAGCTGATTATGTCAATGATCTTCATAAATCATTAGGACATGATAATGAATAGCAAGTTACGAATACCGACCAATACGCTGAGTAAATATCTAGTGCCCTTATGTAACGTGATGCCAGAGGAGTAGACATTGGAACAAAGCACCACATGAGAAAGACGCTGCTAAAATGCGCTGCGGTAATGGATTTCACCTGTTGCCGGTATATCACCTGTTTGGTAGAGAAAATGACCACCCTTATACGAGAACACGCCAATCACTTAGACCTCCATCGGACAATAACACAAATGGATTTATGGGAGCGTTTTGTGTTGGAGCCCTACTGCACGTCTGCAAAAGATGATAGTGTCGGGCGGCCACTTGAACCCTAATGCGGGGCGAAGCATTACACTTACCGAATGGGGGAGAGCTGACGATGGCACTGATCGAGAGGGGTTCTTTTGCTCGGCCGTGGGTATCATTCTACTTGACAAGGGTACTGCATTGTCCAGTGTCCAGGATGAATATGTATTGGTACTGCAGTGTCCAGGGGATGCTGCACTGTCACTGTCCAATGTCCAGTGTCCACTGTCCGCTGTTAAGTGTCCACTGTCTACTGTCCCCTGTCCACTGTCCAATGTCCAATGTCCACTGTCCACTGTCCACTGTCCACTGTCCACTGTCCACTGTCCCCTGTCCCCTGCCTTTTGTCAACTGTCTACTATCTAATGTCGCTGTCCCCTGTTCCCTGTCCCCTGTCCACTGTCTACTGTCTAATGTTCACTGTCCCCTGTCCACCTTCCGCCGTCCACTGCTCCCTGTCCAATTTTAGACCGGCACTCACCGAGGGAGACCGGTGCTGCCACGCGGTGCGCCGCTGTCGGTGACACAGACGTCTTCCTTTAGGAGCGCTCACCGGACCCCACCGTGATGAGGACCGAGGGCGGGCCGAGACCCGCGTCCGACGAGCGGAGGCACCAGGCTGGAACACGGGGGTAGCGGGACAATGGTGCAGCGCAGTGGGCAGAGGAACATTCTGGTAGCAAGCTTAACCCGCGCCCCGTAGGGGGGGGGGGCGAAACGGCCCCCCCCCGTCCTTTTCCGTGGATATCTCCTAAACGGCTGCAGATATCGCCATCAAATTTTCAGGCATCAATTTTACACATTGTGACCAAAAACTTTTCCAGATAGGTTGGCCACAGATGACGTTAGAATGACGTCATTTTCTCCCATTTTCGACCGAAAAAGAGCTTCACGAGAAGAGCTGTCAGGCCTACAGCTTTGAAGATACAGAAAATAATCGAGACACAAAAGGTGTAGAATTAACAACGCTACAAAACTGCCATCTCAGATTTTTGAAATTTTTGAATTTTGACCACTAAAAATCAAAAAGTATTTTTTTGGATATATTAGCCAAAAAATCCAAAAAGGTTTTTGGAGCTTCGAAAAAACGGTATGTATGATAGTACTTATCGTCTTCTATCTACATACCAAATTTCAGAGCGATATCTCTTTTTTTTTGGCCAAGTTATAGCGAAAAAAAAACTGTTCAAAAATGATGACGTCAAATTTATGGCATTTCTAGACAACGTAGGGCAAAACGAAGGCCACCATTAGACTCCCCGTGACGAGTTGCATCGAATCGATACCCATTTTATGCAAAAATATCAACTTTGAAATTTGACCTAGTTTGACCTGACCTTGACCTGACCTTTACCAGAACGTAGCCTAAGCTAACCCCAAAGGCTGCCTGACCCACATAATCGCATTTGTCATGTAAAATGGACCATAAAACATGCATCACACGACACTTTCATAAATTGACCCCCAGTGACCTGACCTCTGTGACCTGACCTGGTATCAGTGACCTCAGATAGCAAAGTATGTGCTTAGCGAACAATTCACCATCGATGATTTTCAATAACTTACCAATTTACTTGATTTCAGAACACTCTTCAAATGCCTGTGAAGTGTGAACGGTGAAAATCCTACATTTGACCTGACCTGTGACGTTATCGGTTTGACCTAGGCCAATGAAACTTGGCCACAAGTTAGTTCCCCGGTGGGGCTATCAAACGCCGTTTGAATTTTGAAAATCGGCCCGTAAATTTCCGAGATCGTAGGGGGTGCCGAAACGCCCCCCCCCCCACGGGTGGTAGGGTCCACTGATAGCCCTACGGGACGCGGGTTAAGTTTACAAACGCAAAGACCTATATGGAACAATACATGCACATTACCATTGTTCTATGTAACTGCATATTCATTTTATATGCAACTCAAACAGACTGTCCCTATCACTCGAGTGTCAGGAAATTAGCAGTAGGTGCTTTTCTGCTGCGTAGAAATATAATAATACACATGTCATCATAGGCGGCGGAACGGGGAGGGCACCGGGGCACCGTGCCCCCCTTTGATTTTGGCATTTTAACATTAGCCCTATGGGCGTTGCATGGAAAGAATGGGACCAAAAGTCGGCAGTGCCCCCCTTAATTGAAGGTGTTCCGCCGCTACTATGCATGTCATTAGAGATGTGCTATGATCCGGACGTTAGAAACAAAGGCTGTCTTTTATTTCTTGGATTGGATTTTTTATAGTGCAGACCTTTCGACGATAATGAAAATGTTATCTGAATTTTGAATCAAATAAGATGTTCAGGCCATGACAAAACAGCGTACGGCTCTCGCGAGATTAACCGGTAGGTTTTGCTCTTTTACATTTCCGGTTATTCTCAGAAACTAATCGATCTACGATGAAG